AGCGGTTTGCTCGTCAGTGCGCTCATGAACAGACGCTCACTATGACATGACCTAAGACTTGAGATGCACATATGGGGAGCTCCACGCGGTGAGAAAGTCCTATTGTTTTTTCCCAACCAACCTGTGTTGTTGGGTCCTCGTTTTGAAGAGACGTCGCCCCGCGTTCCTCTCCTCCTCTCCTCCTCTCCTCCTCCTCCTCATCCTCCCCCTTTCCTCTCCCCTCCCGTCATCATCATCATCGTCATCATCATCACCATCAGCGTCATCATCATCATCATCATCATCATCATCATCATCATCATCATCATCATCATCATCATCATCACCATCATCATCATCATCATCGTCATCATCATAACGACCGTCATCATCACCAGCATCTTCACCCATGTCGGCACGTGGCCCCATAGGGAGTTCCACCGAAGGCCCCAGTGCCACCGCCCGCATGCGCCCCCCACACCGATTTCAGCATACCCCTCACACGTTTCGTGGCCCCATAGGGAGCTCCACCGAAGGCCCCAGTGCCACCATCCGCATGCGTCCCCCGCACACATTTCGGCACACCCCTCACAAAATTCGTGGCCCCATCGGGAGCCCCACCGAAGGCCCCACTGCCACCGCCCGCGTGCGTCCCCCACACAGATTTCGGCACACCCCTCACACGCTTCGTGGCCCCAGAGGGAGTTCCACCGAAGGCCCCAGTGCCACCGCCCGCATGCGTCCCCCACACCCAGCTCGGCACATCCCTCCCACGCTTCGTGGTCACATAGGGAGCCCCACCGACGGCCCCAGTGCCACCGCCCGCATGCGTCCCCCACACCCATTTCGGGCGCACCCCTCACACGTTTCGTGGCCCCATAGGGAGCTCCACCGGAAGCCCAGGTGCCACCGCCTGCATGCCCCCCCCTCCCCCCACACCCACACGCACACACACACACACACACACGCACACGCACACGCACACGCACACGCACACGCACACGCACACGCACACGCACACGCACACGCACACGCACACGCACACGCACACGCACACACGCACACGCACACGCACACGCACACGCACACGCACACGCACACGCACACGCACACGCACACGCACACGCACACGCACACGCACACGCACACGCACACGCACACGCACACGCACACGCACACGCACACGCACACGCACACGCACACGCACACGCACACGCACACGCACACGCGCACACGCGCACACGCGCACGCGCACGCGCACGCGCACGCGCACGCGCACGCGCACGCGCACACGCGCACACGCACACGCACACGCACACGCACACGCACACGCACACGCACACGCACACGCACACGCACACGCACACGCACACGCACACGCACACGCACACACACATCACGCACACGCACACGCACACGCACACGCACACGCACACGCACACGCACACGCACACGCACACGCACACGCACACGCACACGCACACGCACGCACACACGCGCACGCGCACACGCACACACGCACACGCACACGCACACACGCGCACACACGCGCACACACGCACACACGCACACACGCACACACGCGCACACGCACACACGCAAACACGCACACACGCACACACGCACACACACACACACACACACAATTCGGCACAACTCTCACACGTTTCGTGACGTCCCCCACACCCATTTCGACACGCCCTCCCACGTTTCGTGGCCCCACAAGAAGCCCCACCGAAGGCCCCAGTGCCACTGCCCGCATGCGTCCCCCACGCCAATTTCGGCACACCCCTCACACGCTTCGTGGCTCCATAAGGAGCTCCGTCGAAGGCCCCAGTGCCACCGCCCGCATGCGTCCCCCGCGCGAATGTCGGCACACCCCTCACACGTTTCGTGGCCCCACAGGGCACACACATGTCGGCACACCCTTCACCAGCCTTATAGGGAACTCCACCGAAGGCCCCAGCGCCACCGCCCGCATGCGTCCCCTGCACAGATTTCGGCGCACCCCTCACACGTCGCGTGGCCCCATAAGGGAACCCCACCGAATGCCCCAATGCCACCGCCCGCATGCGTCCCCCGCGCGAATGTCGGCACACCCCTCACACGTTGCCTGGCCCCATAGGGGCTCCACCGAAGGCGCCAATGCCACCGCCACCATGCGTCCGCCACACTCAAGGTTTCAGGGAACAGGAACAGCTCCTGACCTCTGGGGAGAAGGAGGAGGCGGAGGAGGCGGAGGAGGAGGCCCGCTCCCCCCCGTATGTATGTTGCTTTGCATTCGTGGGGAATTCCATTCCAGCAGCGAGGGTCTTTCCGGTCTCCGCGCCTCCAACGTCACCCGGACGGGCTTCCCGCTCTCGCACGGCAGGATTATCACCACGGTGGCGTGCCAGGGGCGCACCATGCGAGAAGGCGACGGGGCGAGGGAACGGCGCCCCTGGGCAGTCTACAGCCGAACCTACTGGGCGCGAGCGGTCTGCAGCCGGACCATCTCTCGGTCATGTGGACTCTCGCCCTGGGCCGTCGGCTGTCCGGCGCGCTGCTCCCTCGGCCGACGTCGCCCAGGCGTGATCCTGGACTGCGGCCGCCACGAGGTCGGAAACGGCAAGAAGGAGGACGACGACCGGTGGCTGGAGCTCTATGTGCTGCTCTCGCGCGCCACGCGCCACGAGGACCTCCTGCTCATGCGGGCGCCGCGCATCGAGTTCTTCCTGGCAGGGCCGCCGGGGGGCTTGCGGAAGCAGCTGGAGCAGTTCGCGGCGCGCACAAGGCGGCGCAGGAAGGAGGCGACAGCCCTCGCCAGGGAGCTCGGCTTCACCGAATTTATCCGCGAGGCTTGACCTGAGGAGCGCTCCCCCCCGAGCCGCGCCTTCTCTCGACTGCCCAACTAATTGTGTGGCCTCGCGCCGCGGACGATCCGCGCGCGTCGCTGGGACCCTCCCGGGGAGACCAACGCGCGTCGCGGGAACTCCGTGCTGCGTTCTTCCCTGCGCCTCGCTCGCCCGTCGTCGCTCTGCCCAGCGGTTAGAGCCTTGCCCGCTATCAGCCAGCCAGCTAGCTAGCTAGCTCTCTTTGCTCCGCGCAGCGGACGACCCGCGCGCGTCGCTGGGGCCTTTCCGGGGCGACCGGCGCGCGTCGCGGGGACTCCGCGCCGCGCTGCGCCCGCAGCTTTGGACTTTGGAGTGCGCGGGCAAAGAGGGAGGAAAAAAAGGGAAGGAAACGGGCGCGATCCTCGTGAAAGGCATGCCAACATGGGCGTCGCGGCGTGCGGGCGCTGCCGCCGGGGTTCCAGCGGAAGCTTTCTGCGGCGGCCACGCTCAGTGTCACGAGTGCACAGACAGGCATACCCGAACCAACCACATTCATATACATTTACACGAGGCGTAGCCTTGATCGCATTCGTGCAAATATATTCGCTCGCGCGCAAACTCATTCACATTTAGACTCACTCGCGCTCAGATTCACCCGCGCTCAGTCTCTCGTAATTTCACAAATCGTTTACCTTCGTGTTGGGTACCCCGCCACATTTCGGCACCCCACTCATACGGTTCATGTGGACAACCGAAGAAGACACTCACCATTGCGGTACTCACAACTGCATATGGTTGGGTCCGTCGCCAGGATAACTGATTCCTACTGGTTCCTATCCGATCGACCCTGAGCGATTCCAAAACCCTCCTACTGATTTCCATTGGTTTCTATTGATTCCTGTTGATTTCTATTGCTTCCTACTGGCTCCGATTGATTCCTACCTGTTCCTACATATTCCTGTTGCGTAAAGAGAGGAGCGAGAGAAAGAGAGAGAGAGAGAGAGAACGAGAACAAACATAAAGAAGAGAGAGGTAGGGAGAGCGAGAGACAGGCGTGGGAGCTTTCAGCAAGACAGCACAAAACAGGTAGGTCCCTCTGGGGGGTAGCACACATATGCACACACATACATATATACATATGTATGTATGTATGTATGCATGCATGCATGTCTGTCTGTCTGTCTGTCTGTCTGTCTGTCTGTCTGTCTGTCTGTCTGTCTGTCTGTTTGTGTGTGTGTGTATGTATGTATGTATGTATGTATGTATGTATGTATGTATGTATGTATGTATGTGTGTGTGTGTATGTATGCATGTATGTATGTATGTATGTATGTATGTATGTATGTATGTATGTATGTATGTATGTATGTAGGTATGTATGTATGTATGTATGTATGTATGTATGTATGTATAAATGTATGTGTGCATGCCTGGGCCCGAGTATATCAATTACACCTGAGAAAACCCCAAGTAGTGGATGATTTGAACAATTATACTATGGATCTTGAGATCGATTGTGAGATCGATAATGGAATTGATAGTGGAATCGCTAATGAGGACGATTGTGAGGTCGACCGTGAGACCGAGTGAAATCGATTCAATGAGATCGATCGTGAGATCGATCGCGAGATGGCTCATGCGATCTCTAGTGAGATAGCTTGCGAGATTGATAGTGAGATCGATTGTGAGATCGATGGTGAGATCGATCGAGAAATCGGTAATGAGATCGATGGTGAGACCGATCGAGAAAAAGATCGACCAAGAACCCGGGAACCAGGGAACCTCGCCGCCCTCCGAAATCGGCACAGAACCCGTAAGCAGGAACCCGGGAACCCGGAACCAGGAACCCGGGAACCCAGCCTGCCACCAAAATCGGCGGGGAACGTTCGCCAAATCCTTCAACTTCCGCTAGGACCCCTTCAGTACAAGCACAGATTGGGGAATATCCGCCGCCCGCCGAGGCACCCGACACTCGATCTCCTCGCAACAAAAAATACTCGCAAATAGTCTGGATCCGGCGCCTGGGATCTACGACCCATTACAACAAGGTGAACATGTGTGTTTTTTCTGACGTTTGCAAGTAGGCGATCTGCGAGTAGTGGAAGGCGCTCGGTGAGTTATGAACAGATCCCCGCCTCGAACTCCTGCTTCTCACCCTCGCAAGCTCCTCTGGCAATCTGCACCCAGCGCCCCCAGGGATGAGGGCTCCCGTGCTAGCGTCTTCATCAGCAACAGGTGCCTGTGGTCGGCCGTCAGCAGCGCGTCGAGGATCGTCGCCAGGTCGCCTCGGGCAAGGGCGGGCACAGGGCGACGCTGGGGACGCACGCGGCCCGAGGCCCCGGGCAGGACAGATGTGACCGATTCCGAACCCCTGGGCACCCAAGCGGAATTGACCTACCTTTTGAGGTTCGACTTCCGCTTCAATCGCTTGTCGACGAGCTTACACCAGCCCCCCTCGCGGAACCGGCCTTACTTTGCTTCCGCCAGCCTTCCGCGGACACTCCCACCGAGTCCTCGTCTAGAATCCTCGAATCCCTCCTTGTGACGACTCTCTGGATCCTCGAAGCCTCGAACCCGCAAGGGCCGCAATAATTATCAACTCCTCGAATCCTCGACTCGAATCATCAAATCGCCCTCGAGGCAAATCCTTGACTCCACCTTGACTCTTCCAGAGGCGAGATACAAAGTCCTCGAATCCTCGACGGCGGGGCCCTTTCCAAAAATATCAAAATTGTGGAGGCGACGACATCTCAAGCCGTCACCTGCGCTCATTACGTCGCGGAGCTTGAACGTCTTCTCGGCGAGCTGCTGCCAGAACTCAAAATCCTCGAGGCGAAAACGGTGGAGCATAGAGGAAGAGGAGGAGGAGGAGGAGGAGGAGGAGCAGTAAGAGAAGGAGAGGAGGAGGAGGAGGAGGAGGAGGAGGAGGAGGAGGAAGAGAAACGTCACCGCTGTGCTCCTCATGATCTGGCAAAGCAAGAAGGAAAAGGAGGCGGACGAGGAGAAAGTCAAGGAGCTCAATCAAGCTAGGCACCGCACCATTTCTGGGCCCCAAGAGGGCCTCGGTGAACGGAGAGCGCTGGAGGAAGACCCATGCAAGAACCCGAGGACTAGCGAGCCCCCTCCAAACTGGAAGTGCTCCTGATTTCAACATCTTGACTGTGCGAGGAGATGCAGATCGAGGATGACGAGGGGAGCGAGGATGAGGAGCCCGAGCAGAGGCAAAACAAATGATGAGGAGGGATGGGGTGGGGAATGGGACGGAGTAGGGGGCGAGAAGGTAGAGGAGCGGCGAAGGCCAGCAGCGGGAAGAGAATGGGCTCGGATTCGCCGTGTATACAGAGCTGGCGATGCTACCCTCGCGAGAGGTTCGAAGCGCGATGCGAACTCCAGGCCCCCAGAGAGGGCTATGGCCCAGAATGCGCCGCAAAGAAACTTTAGAACCAACGCTCGGTACCGCGCACTGTCCCCGACCACTAGCTGCCCACGCCCCGGCAGGAAGATGATGGGGAGGCGAGGGACGCGGGGGAGGGGAGCGGGGATGACCGTCGTGAAGGGTGGTCGGTGAAGGCGCTCCGTAAATTGAAGTTCGAGTGCCATCCTCCCACAGACGGGGGAGACAGCCATCTCGAGTCAGGCACCAGGGCGGTCTCACCACCTGGCCATTCTGGCAGGCGCTCCACAAAGAGATGGTGCTGGTGGACGGCCATGAAGGCGGGTTCAACCTCAAAAGGGCTCGCCGTTGGAGGCCTCAGAATCACTATCTGAGCCTTCCGTGGCCCGAGGTTGCCCGAGCCCCTTCGCTCGTGGCAGCTCCGACTCCACAGTCCTCAAAGCCAGCAGTGCCGATGCTGGCCGGGGCAAACCTGGATCCGCATTCCATAAATAAGTAGGGGGGGTCACATTTGGCGGGGGGGTCTGATTTGAGCTGTCTTGAAGGGTTAGGGGGGGTCTGGGCAAAGTGCCGCCCTTTCATGGATGGTCTGGGGGGGTCTAGAACTTGTGGTCTGGGAGGATTGTGACCCCCTCCCTATTATTACGAAATCTGGAGTAAACAATCCTGGCAATGGGCGTCGCTCTGCCAGCCCCTGTAGCTTCGCACCCGTCAGCGAGTCTCTCAATCTCGGCCTTATCCTTGGGGCTCACCGGGCCTGGCGGGCCGAGCACGAGAGACCTCGTCGTGGGTATATAGTGCGGGTATATAGCCGGTTCAACTGGGACCTGACCCTTGGGCTAGCAGGCTTGCCCAGACCACGTTCTAACAGAGTGTGTCCGAAGCGGCCAGATGCATCCTACCCACAGGTGGAACAAAATCAAAACCTTGTCGCCAACTCTCGAAAGGGGGCTCGGTCGAACAACGGGCCAGAGCATGCCGACGCAAGAAGAAAGCGTGGCGGGCCTCATCGGCCCAGGCAGGGTCAACACCCCCATCCCCCGACTCGACGACACTCGACGACGGGACGGCATCCTCCTCCTCAGGCTCGGGCGGCGGCGGCGGCGGGGCATATGAGCATGCACGGCCAGAGATCCGCGCGAATCTCTTGGACCGGCGCCGGGCCCCCTCCCCCCGCGACGACCGCAGAAGTCATCCCCGACGTCCAAGGATTGCCGCTTCTTCGTCATGGGTCCGTGGGAAGCTCGGGCTGGGCGAAAAGGGGGGATAGCAACGAGGGGGCTTGAAAATCAGCTCTATAGCCGATTTTCCCGGCGCCTCCCGGCGCCGGGTGGCGCCCCTGTATCGAGGGATGGGTCCGGCGGCGGGGCCGAAACCAGCTGCATGCAGCAGATTTCGTAAAACCCCCTTTCCCTATCCCCCCTTTCGTTCGGCCCGAGAAACGGGTTCTAGAGCTCGAGGGCTTGGGGCGAAGAATCGCCTGAGACCCGATCCCTCTCCTCTCCTCTCCCCTGCGAAGGCCCACCGCCCTCCTGCAGCTTCTCGGCCTGTGCCCTCGCGGCCACCTGCGCCAGCTCGGCCTCGCCTGCGGGCGGGTGGGTGGAAACCAAGTAAAACGAACGGCTGCTCATCCGCAGGAACAATGGAAAATGTCCTCATCATCCGGCAGAACCTCCTCGTCCTCTCCTCTTCTTCCTCCTCCTCCTCCTCCTCCTCCTCCTCCTCCTCCTCCTCCTCCTCCTCCTCCCCCGTCGTTCTCACGCCCCCCCACCCCACTCGTGCTCCCCCTCCCCCATCCTTCCTCCTCCGCTTCTCACGCCGCTGGCGCCGCTCCCCCATCCCTCTCCCTCGACGCCCCTCCTCGTGATGACTCCCCAAACACTTCTTCTCCACAACTGCCCCATTAGAATGCGACCCTGCTCTCCCTCCAGAGATTATGCGCGAACGGGGCCTGGTTTCTCCTCTCGCCTTGTCAGGCTCAGGACTTCAACGTTTGTATGTTTCATGCGTTCAGCTGCCAACACAAACGAGTCTATATTTCTTCAGGACGAAGTGCTCCGTTGCAGCGCTGCCCTCGTTTCAGAGTCGGTGCTCTGCTCCCGCCGTTCAGGACGGCGCTCTCGCCCCAGCGCGGGCCACATGTCTGCATCCGAAGTCCTTCATCGCCGTTGTCGCCCACTCGTTTCCCTTCATCCGCCTCTGCCTTGTGCAGCTCATCGTGTGCTTGCACATACTACGAGGGGAAAAGTTGGGTGGTTCCAGGCCCGCTATGACACCAAAAGTCAGCACAATAGGAAGGGATGGGTGAGAGTAGTGGAATGTCAGATATGGCGGGAGCGCACCTAGCTCGTTCATGCCGCTGTCCCCTCCTCTTTCTTCCCTGCCTCCTGCTACTCCCTCACCCCCCCCTTTCCACGACGACCGACGACGACGGACAACGACGATCACAGCGACGAAGACGACGGCAACGACAAGGACTGCGATGAAGAAAACCTGGCGGAGGCTGGGGCGACCGAAATGTCGACAGCATCCCAATGCCCAAAAACAAATGCGAGCTCCGGCAGCGACTGCTGCTCGGCAGAGGAGACGCCTCACATCCAGTAAACCCCACCCACATTCGCTCCACGACCAGCAAGCGAGTCCTGCCAAGAGCGGGCAGGCAGTGCAGCCAATCATCGTCACGGATCGTCTCGTCCCCATGTCGGTCCCCTCACCTAGTACCCCTTTGGGGGCGTACAGGGGCACTGGCGCAGCCTACTCTGAATCTTAGCGAATGAAATGGCGTCCGCATGTACATACTGAACCAGCACGTTGACTTGATTCACGCCTTGTTTGGCACGCGCGGATGCTCAATAGCTGCGCACGGTGGCACAAGACTGCTACGATAACGACGACGGCTCAAATCGAGACTACAATCACTACCATTACCACCACTTCTAATACTACCACTACAACTACTGTGACCACCAAACAAACCACCTCTTCTGCTGTCGTAGTAGTAGTAGTACTACTACTACTACTACTAGTAGTAGTCGTAGTCGTAGTCGTAGTAGTAGTAGTAGTAGTAGTAGCAGCAGCAGTAGTAGTAGTCGTAGTAGTAGTGGTCGTCGTCGTAGTAGTAGTAGTAGTAGTAGTCGTAGTCGTAGTCGTAGTCGTAGTAGCAGTAGTCGTCATCTTGATCGTAGTGGTAGTGGTAGTAGTAAAAATAGTAGTAGCAGTAGTAGTAGTAGTTGTTGTAGTAGTAGGAGGAGGAGTAGCAGCAGTGATAGTAGAAGCAGTAGTAGTAGTAGTAGTGGTAGTAGTAGTAGTCGTAGTAGTAGTAGCAGTAGTAGTAGTAGTAGTAGTGGTAGTAGTAGTAGTAGTAGTGGGAGTAGTGATAGTACTAGTAGTAGTAGTAGTAGTAGTAGTAGTAGTAGTAGTAGTAGTAGTAGCTGTAGCAACAGTAGTACTAGTAGTACCAGTAGCACTAGCAGTAGCAGTGGTAGTCGTGATAGAAGTAGTAGTAGCAGTAGTAATAGAAGTAACAGCAGTAGTAGCAGTAATAACAGTAGTAGTAGTAGTAGTAGTATTAGTAGTAGTAGTAGTAATAGTAGTAGTAGTAGTAGTAGTAGTAGTCGTCGTAGTAGTCGTAGTTATAGTAGTAATAGTAGTAGTCGTAGTAGTGAAGTAGTCGTAGTACTGAAGTAGTAGTAGTAGTAGTAGTCGTAGTAGTAGTAATAGTAGCAGTAGTAGTAGTAGTAGAAATAGTAGTAGTAGTAGTAGTAGTAGTAGTAGTAGTAGTACTAGTACTAGTAGTAGTAGTAGTAGTAGTAGTAGTAGTAGTAGTAGTAGTAGTAGTAGTAGTAGTAGTAGTAGTAGTAGTAGTAGTAGTAAGCTAGTAGTAGTAGTGGTAGTTGAAAGAGTAGTAGGAGTAGTAGTAGGAGTAGTAGTACGAGGGAGTAGTAGTAGTAGTAGTGAGTAGTAGTAGTAGTAGTAGTAGTAGTAGTAGTAGTAGTAACCGTCGTCGTAGTAGTAGTAGTCGTAATTGGAATACTAGTCGAATTTGAACTAGTAATAAAAGTACAAGTAGTAGTCGTCGTAGTAGTAGTGGTAGTACTATAAAGCTACGACGACAACGATTACGACTACCACGACTACGTCTACAACGACACATACGATTACTACTACGACGGTGCCGACTACAAGTACAATGACGAATAATACCACGAATGCTAGCAACACTACGGCCAATCGTTCTCCTACCACTACTATTATTATTATTACTACTACTACTACTACCACTACTACTACTACTACTACTACCACTACTACTACTACTACTACTACTACTACCACGTCTGCTGCTGCTACTACTACTACTACTACTGATACTACTATCGCCACAACCAAGATTATTACAACGACTACTACACTACGGCTTCAGCTGCGACGACTACTAGTATTACGACTACATCTACAACTACAACAACAACTACAGCTGGAGCTACAACGACTGCCACTACCACGACGACGACGAGGAGAACAACGACGACTACGACTACGACTACTACGACTACTACGGCTACGACAACGACTACGACTCCGACGATGACTACGACTACGACTGCGAGAACCACCATTACTACTCCTACGACTACTGCCACTACGATTATGACTATGACTATAACTACCTTTTTTGCAGCTAACACCACTATCAGCGCAACCACTTCGCACTGCTGCAAAAACTACCACTACCTCTGCTTCTGAGTCTCCTCCTGCCTCAGCTCCTCCCTCCAGTGCTGGAGAGTCCCCGAGGCTCCATCAGGAACCGGAGCGTCTGACAGCCTCGACCCTGGCCCCCCGACGATGACCCACGGCCTTTGCCGACGAAGACCGACGACGGCGGCGGCGGCCCCTGCCCCCTGTGGCAGAGGGCGGCGGGCGAGCACTGGGAGGCCGACAGTGGGGTGGCCCTCGTGGAAGGCCCCCCCCCTCTCTGGCCTCCCGCGGAGCCCCTCCCCAGCGGGGAATTCGGTTCGAGTCGAGCTCATGGGGCCCAAAAGCTGCCCGAACTCTTCCAGAAAGTCAGCCCTGGAGCGTGTCAGAAAGGACTCCGAGAGAGGCCCCATGCCCCAGAGGGGGAGGCCAGAGGTGGGCCGCGCTGCGCCCGCGCCCGCGGGCCACGCCGGCCCGAATGGCGGCGGCGGCGAGGACGGCGGCTCGTCGGCGGCGTCGACGTCTGCGGCGGCGGCGGAGGCGGCGGGGGGCAGCCGCGAGGGCGGCGGGCGGGGGCGCGCCGAGCAGCGCGGGGTCGGGCCAGTCCGGCGAGCGGACGCCCGCGAGCGGGCTCGGGGCGAGGGCCCAGCGCCCCTGCCTGGGGCGGCGGCCGCGGCGGGGCGGAGGCCACTCGACGGTTCAAAGATTGATGGGCCTGCCTTCCCACCACCACCACCACCATAAATTGAGGGGGGAAGGAGGAGGAGGAGGAGGAGGAGGAGGAGGAGGAGGAGGAGGACCCCCTCCCCCTCCAACTTATGGTGGTGGTGGTGGTGGAAAACAGGCCCATCAAAGATGGGGTCCTGAGGGATGGTGTCCTGAGGACGCGGTACTCCAAACATTGTAAATCCACCCTTGGACTCCATCCTGTCCTCAGGGCCCCATCGCTCGGGACCCCATCTCTGAACCACCACCGATCCACGTCCCTGTCCCGAGGACTCCGGCGCGGAGGAGGTTCGAGTCGAGACGGCGGTGGCCCTCCCTTCGAAGAACGACAGGGAGGCGTACACAGAGACTGTCGGAGTCCCGCGCAGATTTCTTGGATCGGCGATGGGCCCCTTGGCACGCATCGCATACTCCAAACTGCGCAAATGCGTCGAGTTCCATCCCTGGCGTATCCCGTCCCATCTGGGCCTCACTTGGCGGCGCGCACAAAGGGGGTGGGGGGAGGTGGGAAGGCTTCTCAAAAGGAAGCTGCTTCTTAGAAGGCGCCGGCCTTACACGTCGTTCATTTCTAATCGTGCTCGTTTCTGATTGTGCTCGTTACTACTTGTTCCTGGCCCCCTATTTAGTGGCCAGGAAGAGGCCCAGGACAGAATAATTAGAAATGAAAGGATCTTGGCCCCCCACAGAAAAAAACAAAGAACTCGAAGAATCAGAAATGAACCGTGTGCACATCCACAGAGAAGGCCCGCACCTTCTATAATGGGGAGCGGCCAAGAGGGGGTGTCCAAGAGGGGGGGGTGCAAATCATGACCGGCGGCATGTGAGCGGCCCAGCGGGGGGGCCTGAGACGTAATCAAATAAGAAGAGGCGCCATGAAATCTGAGGAAAAGTCATGGCCCACGCCATGATATCCACCCCCCCCTAGTCATCACCCCCCTCTTTTCCGCCCCCGATATAAGAGGCAGGGGTGGTTCCAAGAAGCCTCCCCCCTCCCCCCTACGCGGCGAGTGGGTAACTTCGTGACCTATCGTGGTTATGCCCGTGGTATAACCACGATAGGTCGAGACCATAAGGAACTAGTGACCTATAGTGGTTAACGCATGTTAAATTCCGATGTCCCATCGAAAACCTAAGGAACACCTGATGTCAGCTGCGAAGCAAATATAGAAGGAGCACGGAGCCCCTCCCCAACGGAAAGGGTTCGTTTTTCATCGCCCCAACTGTGCTGTTGGCACATGGCGTGGGTGTTTGCCCTCTTGCCGATGCGGTGCATGAAGCATGCCGAGCCAGACCGGGCAAGGAAGGAGGAGGCTGGAAGAGAGGAGGGGGGAGGGAGGGGGCGAGGAGTTAGGGCAGAGGGAAAGAAGGCGAGAAGAGGGGGAGGGAGACAAAGAATGACGAGACGAAAAGAATTCTGGGAAATCTGGCTGCGAATGTCAACGACAGTCAGAAACACCGCACGAAATGAGCGGCCAACTTGGCAACCTCGGCCAATGCCACGGGCTTTGGTGAGCCGCCGATACCGGCCTGCAGCTGTGCGGACAGGAGCCTGGGCAGTTCTCGGGGAGGGCGAGAACCTGCCAATTTGCCAACGCTTCGCGGCGCGCAGAGGTGGGCAAAGGGGGGGGAGAAGGCTTCTTAGCAGGCTGCCGCTCCTTAGAAGGCCCCGCCTTGTCAGGAGCAGGGGTGTTTCGAAGACGTCTTCCCCCCTCGCCCTTCCCCCCTCTGCGCGTGGCCGACACGCGGGTCCGAGGCGACCGTCTTGCCACAGGCCGAGCAAGAGGTCCAACAGCAGCGCTCAAGAAGACTGCAGACATGAAGGGGCCCTGGGACACACATATTTTCCTATAGGTCCCCATGCTTTCCCATGAATTCTGGGTTTTTGTCTCCCCCCCCACTTCCCATATGTTCCCATATTTCCTGGGGAATCGACGATGAATTCTGTCTGTGTTTTTCCCCCCCTCCTGAAGACAGTGGGAGGCCTTCAGCGTGCCGCGGCGGCGGCCCCCGGGCGCCTCGCCGAGCCGTGCTGAGCGGAAGAGCATGCCGCTAGCGCTCCGCGGGGGCGGGGGGGGCCGCGAAGGCTCGGGGCGCTGGTTCTTCGGAAGGGTACTGCCATCCCGCATCATGAGGATGCGCCGTGAAGAGGCATAGGCCTCGGAGGGCCGCGTGGACACCCTGCGAGCGGGGCGCGATCTCACTGTGGGCTCCTCCTCCTCCTCCTCCTCCTCCTCCTCCTCCTCCTCCTCCTTCTCCTCCTCCTCCGTCTCTTCTTCCTCCTTCTCCTCCTCCTCCGTCTCTTTCTCCTCCTCCTCGACCTCCTCCTCCTCCTCCTCCTCCTCCTCCTGTTTCTATCCTCCTCGCTCCCCGCTCCTGCGCATCATGACTGTGCGGGCTCACTGCCAAGTGGACCGCGTGCCGCGGCGAAGCGTGGTGGGCCAGAGCTGGCGGAGCGGCACGCCCTCCCTTCGGCCATCCGTGAGCAGTAGATGTGTGTGTGTGGGGGGGGGCGAGACTCTCGCTGGGAGAGGCGGGGGCAACGCCCGGTGAGGGCCCCCGCCCGACATGAGTGCCGAGCCTCGAACTTGGAGCAGGTCCGGCTGAACTGCTTCGACGGGGGGGGGGGGCGGGCAACGCCTGGTCAGGGCCCCGGCCCGAGATGAAGGCCGAGCCTCGAACTGGGAGCAAGTCTGGGCTGACATGCTTCGAGCTGACGCTGCTCCACTCGCGGACGCTGGAGCGGAGGGCCCCGGCCAGAACGGGGAGCGCAGGCCCAGTCTGGACTTCTGGCTGGCCCGCGCTCGAGGGAGAAAGAGGAAGAGGGGGAGGATGAGGCGAGGACGGAGGGAGGACGCATAGATCGCAGAGGGATGGCAAAAAACCCAGGATTGCAAAAAACCCAGGATTGCAAAAACAAAAAAACGGATTGCAAAAAAACGAAGGATTGCAATCCTTCGTTTGAACGAAGGATTGCAAAAAAACCCTTGAACGAAGGATTGCAAAAAAACCTTCGTTCAAGGGAGGGGAGGGGAGGAGAGGAGGGGAGGGCGAAGGGAGGGGAGGGGAAGGAGGGGAAGGAGGAGGCCCGAGAGGGGGCCAGACACGCCCGGAAGCCTCGGTCCTCCGCCCTCCCTCCCAAGACACCAGGGGCGCCTTCGGTGTGCTCGGTGCGCGGGCCCTCGGACCTCTCGAGCCCCCTCCCCACAGTCTGGCCTGCCATCCCTCCCTCCCTCCCTCCCTCCCTCCCTCCCTCCCTCCTCCCTCCTCTCTCCTCTCTCCTCCCTCCTCCTCCTCCTCCTCCTCCTCCTCCTCCTCCTTCTCCTCTGACGGCCGCGAGGCCGAAGCCAGCCTCCGGAGGCCAAAGATGGCGGCGGACTGGCCGCCGCGCTCTTCTCGAGGCGCCCGGACTGCCTCTTCCCCGGCCCTGACCCGCAGGGTGCTGAAGCATACTCCAGATTTCGTAATAAAAGGCTCTTCCAGGCTATCTTGGAGGGCCTGGGGTGGTCTGGGGACGATGTTTTGGAGGGTTCTCCCACGGGGGAGGTCTGAAATGGCTTGTCTTGGAGGGTCCAGACCCCCTCCCTTTTATTACGAAATCTGGAGTAGCCTTGCGAAGCCACAGCCCCATCTGCACTGCTCAAAGCATCCACTGGAGTTTGGATTCCTGTGGCCCTCCTGGAAGATCAGGGTGGTCCTCCTCCCCTCGTAGCCGAAGGGCGGGCGGCCCCTGCAGGCTGCGGCCTTCTGGCCTTGGCCACGCGCCACTTGTGCTTCTGCACCGCCCATGGGTCCTCTGGCCGAAGAGGTGATGGGTCTGTCTCTCAGGAGGTGTGCCGCTCTCGCCTCTCTATGCGCCGTTGTTGTTTCTCTCCGACGTCTTGAAATGTCAACCGGCCAGAGCTCAAAACAGCATACTCTTGCACGCTCGACGTGTAATATGTGCGTGTCGCAATCGGTGGGGCACAAATCTGTGCTTGGCGTCACCTACGTGGTGCAATCACTGTGGCGTGTGGCTCACGCACCGCACTGTATCTGACGCGCATCGTGGGGTGCAATCTACACTGTGAAACTTCATCCCTGCCGTGCAGCATGTGAGGTGCAGGCGAAATGACAACACACATTCGGTGCAATCTACGTGGAACAATCTACATGGCGCAATCTACGCGGTCACCAGACGGCCTCGGGCGCCCACTGAACGCACCCTTGGAACCGCGAGTCAGAACACATTGCGACCACAGAGGTGGACAATGGCGCCCACTGGCCAAAAACTAAGTCAGCACTCCTGTGCAAGCACTGCCTGGGTGAACCTTCTTACATTCTCTGCATGTCCTGGGGCTGTTTTCGGGCTCTGGGGCTTTAAGGATGAGCCTAGTGTAATAACATGTTCACGTATATATATATATATATATATATGTTGTATCATACCTAAATGTGTACGTACGCGTGCGAGCAAGCTTGTGCGTATGTGTATATATACACATACGCAAACATATACATATGCAAATACGTACATCGGCATATATGTATGCATTGACATATACAAATTCATATACACATGTACGCAGAGACATGGACCACCCAGGGCGGTCCCGTAGCTGAGTCCCAGGGCAGCCCGGGTGGTCCCGTAGCTGAGTCGAAGGACAGCCCCCTCCCTTTCATCGCTTCCCCGCGGGAGGGGGGGAGTCCCAAGGGGGGTCGGCACCCAGATACGCACTCCCCCCCGGGCGGTCCCGTAACGGAGTCGAAGGGGGACCCCTTTCCTTTCCCCGCCGGGGGGAGGAGGGTCCAGGAGGGGAGGGTCGGGGGGGGGCCAAAATACGCATCTTTTCCTGCGGTTCCAGGGCCCATAAAAAGCCCCAAGACGCGGCAAGAAAGCCCCAAGCAAGACGGTCCTTGAGGCCCCAGATCGCCGAATCGTCGGTCCAAGACGCCCAAATAGCCTCCAGACGGCTCAAGAGGTTTTCAAAACCCCCCAAGAAGCCTCCAAGAGCATTTCCAAGGGTGCCCTTTAGGGGGCCCCAGGACCGCCCAAGAGGCCTCCGAGACAGCCCAGCTCCAAGAGGGAGCCCAGGCGGGGAACCCGAACGGACATTTGGAGCCCTCTGCCTGAGAGGCTCCCAGGAAGCCTCCAGATGCTCCCAAGAGGCCCCCAGGAGACCCCCAGGAAGCCCCAAGAGGCCCCCACGATGCTCTCAAGAGGCCACCAAAAGCCACGCAAGAGGCCCCCAAACTACTCCCAAGAGGCCCCCGAAAACGCTCGCCGTCGTCGTCGTCGTCGCCGCCGCCGCCGCCGCAGCCGCCGCCGCCGCCGCAGACGCCGCCGTCGGCGTCGTCGTCGTCGTCGTCATCGTCGTCGTCGTCGTCGTATTCGTCGTCGTCGTCCAGGGTCGGCGGCACCAGCCGTAGGGCCTCTCCAATACGCACATGTAGAATGTGCGGCGCTTGTGTACAGACCGTGCTCATACACCTGTACATCTATGCATATGTGTGTATGCATAGGTACATACATACTAGAAGCATCGCGCTCGCGCTTCGCGCGCGCGATGGTTCTAGCAGACCTCAGGCCTTGACGAGTTCACTGCTCCACTGAAGTGATGGACCACAGATGGTTTGAACGGGAAGTGAAGAAATGTCCATAACGCTGAACGCATTATGGGCAATGAGAAGTCCACGCATGTCAATCCGCATTCCAGAAGGCTGCCGGGGAAGATGGGGGGAAGATGGTTGCGTAGGGGGGGGCGGAGGCCTGATGAATCGGGTTGCCAGAAGACCTTCTGGGAACACGGATTATGGGGGCGTCTTGGGGAGCCTGTTGGGGCTTGCCGTCGTCGTCGTTGTCGTCGTAATGTCGTCGTCGCCTCTTGGGGCGCGCCGTCGTGGTCGTCGTCGTCGTCGTCCTCTTCGTCATTTCGTCGTCTTCGTCGTCTTGAGGCAACTTTGTGCGAAACGATCCGCGGATGGTCGCAAGAAACTGATCAATCATGTTCCCGGTCAAGCTCCCAAACAACATTCCCGTAACGCGGTGGTACGTCGGAGCCTCCAGAGACTCTTGGGTCCATGCTCAACCATGTCCCCGGAAGGCTTTCTGGGGACATGATTTGTTTGGTTGTGTTGGGGTGGCCTCTTGGGCGTTCCTTGGGGGCCCCTTGGAGGCCTCTTGGTGGCCTCCGGGGGCCAGAGACTTCGAAGCATCGGTTCGCGGTCCCCCTCTGTGCCCCCTCTTGGGGCGCTCTTGGGGCACACTTGGGTTTTCTGGGGAGCCTCCTGAGCCGTCTTAGGGCCGTTTTCGGGGCCTCGTGGGCCGTCTTGGAGCGGTCTGAAGGGCCTCCGAGGCCGTGGGGGAGCGCTGGGAAGCAGGAGAAGCGAGAACGCCCAAATCCTTCAAAAACCATTCGAAAACAAGTGGCACGCGTGCCATGGCTCTTGCACCGAAACAAATGGGGAGGAGGCGGATGGGGGCGCGCTGGCTGGTGGATGGGGTGACGGAGGGGGCACTCGGGATGTGGGGGGCGGCGCCGTGCCGAAATAAAGTGGTCGGGGCAGAGGAGGCGCTTTGGCTGGTGGGTGGGCGATGCAGAGGGGGGCGCTCGGGATGGGGGGGGGCGGTGCCGTGCCGAAATAGAAAGGGTCAGGGCGGAGAGGGCGGTGCCGCGCCGAAACAACGGGGTCGGGACGGAGGGGGCGCGCTGGCTGGCGGGTGGGGGGGCGCGGAGGGGGCGCGGGCGGAAGGGTCGCGCTGGCTCGTGGGTGGGAGGACGCGGGGTGCCTATAGTAAGGGGTCAGGACGGGGCGGGGCAGCGCCGAAATAAAAGGGGCCGGAACGGGGGGTGGAGCTTTGGCTGGTAGGTGGGTGGGGGATGTGGAAAAAGCGCGCGGGATGCGGGGGGGCGGTGCCGTGCCGAAACAAACGGGCCCGGGCGGAGGGGGCGCTCTGGCTGGCGGGTGGGGGGATGCAGAGGGTGCGCGCGGGATGGGGGTGGGTGGGCGGTGCCGTGGCGAAATCAAGGAGTCGGGGCGGAGAGGGCGCGCTGGCTGGTGCGTGGGGTGATGCAAAGGGGGGCGCGCGGGATGGGGGGGCGGTGCCGTGCCGAAAAAAAGGGGTCGGGACGGAGGGGGCGCGCTGGCTGGTAATTGGGGTGATTTGTGGGGGGTGGGTGGGGGGCGGCGCGGGATGGGAGGGGGGCGGTGCCGTGCCGAAATGAAATGAAATGGTCGGGCCGGGGGGGGGCGGCGCCGCGTCGAAATACAAGGGGTCGCGGCGGACGGGGCGCTCTGGCTGGCAGATGCGGAGGCGCGGAGGGGGCGCGGGCCGGAGGGGCCGCGCTGGCTGGTAGGTGGGAGGATGCGAAGGGTCTATAGTAAAGGGAGCCGGCGCTGGCTGGCGGGTTGGGAGGGCCCGGAAAATGCGCGCAGGATGGGGGCGGCGGGATGGGGGCAGGTGCCTTGTCCTTCGTTTCTCTCAAGGGGGAGGAGGTGGAGGTCCCGTACCTCCCCTATCATTCAGGAAAGATGAGGAGGTGGTTCCACCCTTTCTGTTCCCATCAGCAAGGAGGAGGAGAGCCCTTCCTTCCCCGCTCCCTCGGGAAGGAGGGGGATGATGATGAGGAGGAGGTGGGTATCGCGCTCCTTCCCTTCCCTCAAGAAGGAGGAGGAGGTTGCTTCCTCTCCCTATTCCTCAGAAAGGAAAGTGACAAGGATGTGGGAATTCCTTCACTCCCCTTCACTTCGGCCGAAGGATCAGCGGGTTCTTTCCTTGTCCTGTCCCTAGAAAAGGAGGAGGAGGAGGAGAAGAAGCAGGACGAGGTTCCCGCCCTCCTCCCTCAGGAGGGAGGAGAAGGAAGAGGAGGAGGAGGAGGAGGAGGAGGAGGAGGAGGAGGAGGAGGAGGAGGAGGAGGAGGAGGAGGAGGAGGAGGAGGAGGAGTAGGAGGGGGGAGGATCCCACGCTGAGATTGCCAGGCGAATCCAAACTGAACCCCCACACAGAAATCATCCTATTGTGATATCCTCGGCACATGGATTCGGATTGAAATCCTACACGAAAGGAATCGTGATTCCAATTGAAATCCTCCACGGTCCCTGGCGCTGCCACACCTTCCTCTGTGGGCTGGGCCCTGGAAGAAAGGCTCGGGGGGAAAAAGGCCCCACCTCCGCCTTTTCAACTCCACCTCGGGGAGGAGGAGGAGGAGGAGGCGGAGGAGGAGGAGGAGGAGGAGGTGGAGGTGTTCCCGACGGCTCCTGTCGCCGAGGGTCCCCGGTGCTGCCAGCTTCCTATGGCGGCTGGGCCCTGGGTGAAAAATCCCGAAAACAAAACACGGACCCTCTCTTCTGGAATCCGATTGTTTTGTTGTTCTGGCCCGCCCGAAACAAATACTTTTGTTGTTTCTGGGTTCTTCCCCGCAGGGCCAGATTCTCCGCGTGGAGGAGGAGGAGGAGGAGGACATGCTGGGTGAAGGGGGAGGAGGAGATCCTGCAGACGCCAGCGAGTCTTAACATCCACAATGCTCCTTTGCACCTGAAGGCCGACAACGCACAGCAAGAAAGTCATCGACGACGGCGACAAAGATGACGACGACGATGACGGCGAAAACGACGACGCAACATCCTTCTTAAAAACCTTGAAAACGCAGGTCCTCGTTAGACACCAGAAACCCGCTTCTTCACCCCCATGTAGGTCAAACCCCGAGTACCACCCGCCCGACACTCCCTCTTGCATCTCAGAAACCTGGCGACCCCAGACCTCCGACGTCGTGATGTTGTCAAAACGTTGGCCCACTGGGTCCCGACCCCTCCTCCAAGGGCCGGTGTCGGGCCCGAGCCGTGCTCAACGGCCCCCAGACCCGGCAAGGGCTTCCAGAGGACGACAACGGCTGAAAACATCCCGCCGCGATGATTTCTCCACGACGCGAGGAAGTCTGGGCATGCCGAGAGACGCAGAACTCCACACTCCGGAGCACCCGTTCGCCCGTTCGCGCTCGGGAGAGAGAGAGAGAGAGAGAGAGAACAAAAAAAAAGAGAGCTAGGCGTCGCGAGCACGCCCGCTCGTCTATCTCCCCCTCCACTCAAGGACGCTCCCGCACCAGCGACGGCAATTCGGAACAGCCTCCTCTGCCCGAAATGGCCCCCACGAAGAGACACGTGATTCACTGGGTGAGGGGACACAGTCAGGACGCGGACAGATTACAGGTCGGAAGAGCGCAAGTGGGGCGGGAAGCACCGTGCAAGAGGAAGACAGAGTGGGAGAATGCGGCTGCAGAGAGGAGGAGGAGGAGGAGGAGGAGGAGGACGCGAGGAGGAGGAGGAGGAAGAGGAGGAGAAGGAGGAGAAGGAGGAGGAGGAGGAGAAGGAGGAGGGGGGGGAGGAGGGGGAGGAGGAGGAGGAGGACCCGTGCAAACCCAAGAGTCATTAACGATGTTGAAATACATCCTCCCTCCAAAATCCCTCGTCATAGGTCCCTTCAAGGGGTCATTTCCACTGGAGGAATTGCTGCGTTAGGGAACAAGCGTGTGAGCATCTTGAAGCGTGCCAGCACAACATTGTGAGGACTTCTGGCGATTCTGGATCGTGCCCAAAATCATTCCTGAGACTTCAACACCGCGAATCAACGTAAGTGTTGCGCCCTGATTGTCCTGCACGGTTCCAAAAAAAATCTGACACGTTGACCATGAGAACCAATGAAACTCTTGCATACATTGGAAACGAATGCGCGCGGCGCTAAGGCGAGAGCCACATGTTGAAAAGAAGCCGCCCTCAACCCGTGAAGCTCTTGCATATGTTGAAAACGAATGTGCGCTGCGCTAAGGCGAGAACCACATGTTGAAATAGAACCGACCTCAATGCGTGAAATGTTTACAAATGTTTTGAAACTGATGTGCGCGGCGCTAAGGCGAGAACCACATTTTGAAAACCAGCCGCCCTCAATCAGTGAAGCTCTTGCACATGTTTAAGACGACTGCGCGCGGCGCTAAAGCGAGAACCACAGTTTGAAAAAAACGATACGCCCTCAATCCGTGAAGCTCTTGCAAAGATTTGAAGATTGTGCTCGCGGCGCTAAGGCGGTAACCACATTTTGAACACCACCAGCCCTTTATCCGGGAAGCTCTTGCAATTTTTGGGAACGAACGCGCGCGGCGCTAAGCGAAAAATAACATGTTGGAAATAACCCTTTCTCGATCCGCGAAGCTCTTGCAATTTGTTGACACGAATGTGCGCGGCACTAGGGCGAGAGCCACCTTTTGAAAACCACCCGTCCTCCATGTGTGAAGCTGCTGTCAGTTCTTCAGCATCAGACTCACAATTGGGGAAGCAGTCTCGGGCGAAACGCCTGGCCCGCCCCTCGGAATGCGACTGGGAGGAGTTATCTATCAGGACAAGGATTGGAAGAGGAGGAGGTGGAGGAGGAGGAGGAGGAGCAAGAGAGGCCCTGCGCGCGCGGCCCGCGGGCGCGAGGGAACGCCTTGGCCTTCAGCGAGCAGCGAAACCGCAAGACGGACCGAGGAGGAGCCGCGAGCCGCATCGGGCTGCATCGCTCCGCAATCGACGCCCTGTCGGCTCGGCCGCGCCAGGATGCACCACAACGCCGCGCAGACACCTCCTCCCCCTCCTCCTCCTCCCTCCTCCTCCTCCCCCTCCTCCTCCTCCTCCTCCTCCTCCTCCTCCTCCTCCTCCTCCTTCTGCTTCCGCGGGCTCCCGCCGAGGGCGAGGCGCGCCGCTCGAGGCAGCCAACCTCGAAACAAGATCGGGCAACGCTGCACCCCGGGCCTCCTCTCCCCAGGGTGCCGTCCGACCATGGAGCTCGAGCAGAAGCCGGCCATGGCGGCGAGGGCCCTCCAGGAGGAGCAGCGGCATCGGTAGCGCTGCCTCCTCGGACCCCGCCGTTCGGCGAAGCCCCCGCGCCCCCGTCGCTCGTCGGCGACTCCGAGGGGCTTGGTTTGCAGAGGGTGTGGCTTGCAACGCGCACCCCGGGGGCGGGCGGGGACATCGACAGAGTTCTCCGCCTCGCCCCGAGGAGGCGGCCCGACGAGGGCAGCGTGGTGCCCCCTCCCCTGAGCCCCAACGACGCAGATCGCAAAACATACAGTCGAGGTCGATTGGAGGGGGCACGCGAGAGGACGCAAGACCCCTCCGAGGGCCACGCTGCCGTAGAAATGGAAAGGCATGGGTCGCGAAACGCCGGGCACAAGGGCACCCTTGACTTGGCAGGGTCGACCTACTGACCAAGCGCGACGGTACCCCAGCGTAGCCGCGCCCTTTTTTTGGGGGGCAACGATAGGGGGGACTGGCATAGGGGGGGATGCGTCGACCTGGAATCGGCGATACATCGCCGATAAATCGGCGATAGGCCTCTCATAGTGAGTCCGCACCTTCCTGGGCAGGTTGGGGCTATTGGGCCCCTGTCGGCGATCAATGGGCGATTGGGGGTCCATGCATCCCCCCCTATGCCTATCCCCCCTATCGTTGCCCCTGAAGTTTGCAGTCGCCGAGCTCGAGGCCGCGGCCCCGATGGCAGGGCGGGTCCTTCTGCCACGGCGCGATGTGGTAGCGCGGTGCCACCTGACGGCACGGCCGCCGTCGCCACCGCCGTCCCCGCTGCTGGGCCGCGCCGTCGACGCGGGTGGCCTGCGCAGCTCCGCGGAGCCGCCGGAGCTCGCGCGGCCCACGCGGCATGGCCACCACCGCAGGCTCGCAGCCGCAGCCTCCGCCCCTCTCCTCCAAGCTCGCTCCGCTCCGCCTCGCCTCGCCTCGCCCTCCCGCTCGCACTTCCTCGCCCCCCCCCCCTCTCCTCGCTCTCTTTGCTCCTTCTGCTTCTTCTCTTTCGCTCTCCTCCTGATGCTGCCCTCCCTCATCCCACCTCGTCCTCAGCCGCCTCCCAGTCCTCCGCCCCTGCTCCCCACTCTCCATGATATCCCCCGTCCTCCTCGACCCTCCACGGGCCCCCCTCCACAGGCCCCAGAGCAGGCACAACCTCCTGGAGCACCGAACAAAACATCCCAATCGTCTTCCCCGCTTGCCTCATCGCCCGACCGCCTCCTCCGTTCTGCCCTCCTGATCCCGCAGATCCATCACTCCTTCAGCTCCTCTGCTCTCCTCGTTGCTCAACTCCTGATGAGCGACCGGATGCCGCGAAGCCTCTTCCCCCTGCTCCCTCGTCGTCCTCCTCCTCCTCCTCCTCCTCGTCCGTCTTCTGGCTTACCACCCTCGTCAAAGGCACCGGGACAGCGCATGGGAAGACACGTTCGGAGGTCCGTGCGGATTGCTTCGGTCGGCGCGCTGGGACCCCCTCCGCCGGTGCGCGAGGCGCGCCGGAGGCGGCGCCAGAGGCGGCGCCAGAGGCGCCGCGGCCTCCTGCAGCCCTCCCCTCCCCTCCTCGAGCCCTCCCCTCGAGCCCTTGTCCCTCCCTGCTGCTGCTGCCTCCCGTGCCGCATTCATCCCTCCCTCCTCCCTGCTCCCTCCCCTCCCTCGCTCCCTCGGCCCCGTCCTCCGCCACCCCTTCCTCCAGCCCCCGGCTCCTGCCTCGCTCTTTTGCCGCTCCTCGTTGACTTTTTCCTGCCAGCTACCCTGCTCCTCTTGCTCCTGCCGCTCCATCGCTTCGTCGTCGTCGTCGCCCTCGCCCTCGTCGTCGTCGTCTTCGTCGACGTGCTGGTCGTGCTCGTCGTCGTGCTCGTCGACGTGCTCATCGTCTTCGTCGTGCTCGTCGTCGTCGTGGTCGTGCTCGTCGTCACCGTCGTTGTGCTCGTCGTAATGGTCGTGCTCGTCGTCACCGTCGTCGTCTTGCTCGTCATCGTGCTCGTCATCATTCTCGTCGTCGTCGTCGTCGTGCTCGCCGCCGTCGTCGTCGTCGTCGTGGTCCTGTTCGTCGTCGTCTTCGTCGACGTGCTGGTCGTCCTCGTCGTCATGGTCGCCCTCGTCGTCGTCGTCGTCGTCGTCGTCGTCGTCGTCGTCGTCATCGTAGTCGTGGTTGTCGTTTCGTGACCTTCGTCGTCGTCGTTGTCGTTGTCGTCGTGCTCGTCCTCCTCCTCCTCCTCCTGCTCTGTTTCCTCCTTCACTTGGGGGCACGTCTGGGAAAAGGTGTGGGCTGACAGATCGAGTAGGGAAGGATGGGCAGACGGCAGGGCGCGAACGAGGGAGGGGAGGGTAGGAGGAGTGGAATCAGGGCGAAGGAGGGCGAAGGAGGGCGATGGAGGCGAAGAGGGTGGATGGGGGAGGGATGAGGGAGGAAGGAGGAGGAGAAAGGAAGAGGGAGGAAATCTGTGGGGTGAGGGAGGGATGATAGTGCGAGGAAGAATGGTGGAAGGAGGGGCGGCAGGGGGTTGAGGAGGAGGAACATGAGGACGGGGAGGCGGAGGAGGAGGACGGGGAGGAAGAGGAGGAGGACGAGGAGGAGGAGGAGTAGGAGTTGGAGGGGGAGGAGGAGGAAGGAGAAGGAGAAGGAGAAGGAGGAGGAGGAGGAGGAGGAGGAGGAGGAGGAGGACCAGGAGGAGGAGGAGGAGGAAGGGAGGAGGACGAGAAGGATGAGGAGGAGGAGAAGGGCAAGAGGAGAAGCATGGGGGGCCGCGCTTGCCAGCAGCCGGCAGCCGCGGTGGGGCGGGCCTGCGCACCGAAGGCGTGCAGCGTGGTGCAGAACTGCGGGGGCGGGGTGGGGGTCCTCCTCCTTTTCCTCAACGAACAAGCCCTCAATGCAATCAACGGACGTGGCAGTCTCAGGGCGCGGCATACAGAAGCTGCCACGATGCAGCGTGAGATATTGCAGCCTGTCCGTTCCTAAATCCCACCAGCCCTCTGGGTGTCGGTGGTGTAGGGAGTTTCCTCTTCCACCCCTCCTTTTTCCCCTTCGGGGAAAGGGTTTACCCCTCCCCCTACCCCCTCCCCTGGACCTGGGCAGAGGGGGTTCGCGAGGTGTCAGGGCGTCCAAAACGACCTCGGCGAGGAAGCCAAACTCATTGGTTTTATTTGGGTGTTGGCCCCATTTTGGCCTCCTGAAGGAGGGGACCCTAATTAAAGTTCCCCCCTTGTTTGATCGATCTCCTCCAAGATGGCCCCAAGAAGCGCCCAGGAGGCCCCAAGAGGTCCCAACAAAATGGCCCCAAGATGGCCCCAAGAGGCCCCCAAGAGGCCCCCAGGAGGCCACCCAAAGGATCCCAAGCGGCCCCAAAAGGCCCCCCCCGAGGCACCCAAGACGCCGAGCCCCACCCCCCCACGACCGCCAAGAGATCCCCAAAACGTCCCAAGACGCCCAAGAGATATCCCAAGAGCCTCCGAAAAGCATCCAATCCAAGAGACCTCTGGCCCTTTGGCTTGTTTTCCTGTTCCCCCTCACTTATCCTACTCATCATTTTCGTCTTCCTCCTCCTCCTCCACCACCTCCTCCTCCTCATCCTATCCATCCTCCTTCTTCCCACTCCCTCATCCATCCATCCACCTCCCCCTTCTCCTCCTCACTCCTTTGCACGGTTCGGCCGTCCCCCTCTTTGCTGCCGCACTTCCCTGATCACCTGAACTCGCCTGGACATCGTTTCTGGCCGGGCTGGTGGGGATACTGTTTGGTTTGCGGGCTCGCGAAGCAGGTCGAAAGCCGTCCGTGCGCCAGTCGGGCCGCGACTAGGCAGCAAGAAAAGAGAGGCAAGCGAAGCGAGCGCGCGGGCAGCCACTCAGAATAAGAGCCAGAAACGAAACTCCCAACACGGTGGCGTGGAGATCCCGGTGGCGACCAGCAAGTAAGCGCAGCCAAAATGGCGCGGCGGCGCGACCATAAACACACAGAGATCAATCACTCGGCGTGAGTCGGCACAAGCCACCGTCAGCGACGAACAAGACCGACAGGCACAACCGGACGACGTCCGTGCCGTAGGCGAAGCAACTGCATCGTGGCAGCGCAAGAGTGAAGAGGGGCAACCTCGTCACAGATAGGACTGCAAACGGCAGTACCTCTTGTTTGGACAGCAGTGGCACATGTCGAAAGCGAAGTCCCTTGCAGGAGAAAGCAGCCGACGGGCGCACCGAGCCACGCATGCCGAGTCCAAGCACCGTGGAGGTCGGCAGCGTGTGAGACCCCACTGAACCACTTGTGGGGGTACTTTTTTCGTCGGCGGCCGCGCGACTACGGTCTGGCGGCAACAAGCGTGCCCGGGACGGCGGAACAGGCTTTTTCCACACAAGGTGCGGTGCACGTGCGCTGCGCAAAATGCTCCGCATTCGCCGAAACGCACCTAGGCGCCGCCCGGTCCAAAAGAACGAGCGTACAGAGGTGCGGGTGCAACGGAACGTGGCACCAGCCCGGAGAACCGGCTGCTGGGGGTGGAAAACTGGCTGACGGCGCTGAAGGCTGGACCACTCAGCTCGCAGCCAGCGAACACCACTACAGAGCTGCGAGGCTGGCGGCGGCCAGCGGACGAGTCGGTACCGGTGAGGGGAAGGTGCGCCGAGAAGCACGGGCGAGGCGCCACACTGGCAAGGCAACCCGCCACAGTCACCTTCACCTCGGTGGACACCGCCGTCCTTCCGAAGTCACAGGGCCGACCGGATGTGGGAGGGCCCCTGCGGCCCGCATGGTGCGACTGGCGTGGAGAAGGGCGGGTGAAACCTTGAGACGCGCCCTGAGACATTCAGGCAACGCGTAAGAGAAGCACTAAAGGACGCACACAGGCAAGGCAGCCCTCAGAGACTCTCACGTGAAGGATCTCACTTGTGGGGATACGCGAAGCGTCTAGAATTGCAGCGCTCTCTGAAAACATTTGACTGAATGACAATCGCTGAGCTGCTGCGGGGAATGGTTAAACACACTGATCATGCCGAGCATGGATGTCAGGAGCAGGTGGGGATGGGCCAGGCTCGATTGGGTCTTTGAAGGCCCGGCTGTGCAAACACCGGTTGCCGACAAATCGTGGGGGTCAAGGAGGCTAGAAGCATGAGGGAATAAGGAGGAAAGAGGAGGGGCCTTGCCAACCGAAGCTGTCAAACGTAAGCCTAAGATGACCATGTCCCTTCTCATAGTTAACGGTACCATGTTGTGGCCAAGCAATCTCCTCCGCCAAAGACGCGTGCTACAATAATTCTTTATGAACGTCGTCAAGGAGTTTCAGTGCCGAAGACGTGGCACGCCATGCAGCTGAAGTGGCGCCCGCGAAATACGACAATCATGTGGCACTTGCACAGGCGAGCCACTTGACGTTGTGAATCTAAGCGACCACTGTGGAGCAACGACTTCAGCCCATAAGAAGCCTCACTAGCGTATTGCTGGATGGCATACGGAATTGAAAAGCATCGTATCGAAAACGGCGCCCAATATTTCGAACCTGTCACCGTGAGGAGATATGTCGTCAAAGATGTGTACCCTTTCCTTTCCTGGTTCAAAAAGCACCTGGTTGGCTGCACCCCGTGAGGGCAGGGAGCGTTGGCAACCCTTGCATGCTCGAAGCATTTCAGAATTACTGCGACACCCACTGTACTAGGAAACAACTTCTGGGAGGTTTTCGTCGGAACAATTTCAAAGGATTGAGCCCCATTGGGTGGCTGTTATGCCAGAGTGGGCCTCGGATTAAGCCAGATGAAACCGGATTGAGCGGGATTAAGCCGGATAAAGCGGGATTAAGCCGGATTTCGGACCAGGGCAAAAACAGAAATCGACCTCCCAGGAGTTGCATCCGAACACTGTAAATCCTCCAACAGTTCAGGTCGTCAACGACCACGCTTATTTCGAAACCAGCGGCCGCGATAGAGCCGCTGGGTTCCACGTGGTACACATTTCAGAGAGGTGGGCCGAACAGAATACATTGGAGAACCATGTTCTGGCACGGAAGAGGTTCAGACAGGACGCCGTCGACGCAGACCCTGGCTGCACGGGGCTCGAACCAAGCAGAAATTACATTCGCGAGCCCTTTAGAAATGCCGGCGGCAGCAAGTTTCACGAAAAGTCTGGGGAACACACCCTGTCGAATGCAACTGACTCGTTGGAGCAATAGATTGCTACCAATGTTCAAATTGCCAAGGCCCACCGGCATACAGTATGCGCTAAAACGTCACGATACCCGCGGCCACGGTGGTAAGCAAACTGATTTCGACTACACGCGCGTGCATTCTCGGAGACAAAACGATAAAGTCTGTTTGCAACCATTCCTTCAACGATCTCACGGATCTTAGACGCAACATGTATACGGCGATAGTTGCCAGCGTTGGACCCTGACTCGTGCTCGTCAGTGAAGTCTCCAAATAGGCCGAACACCTTATTGAAAGGTAAGCCGGGCAATCATAGCAATAGGAACCGAGAGCTCGTTGGCAAATTATTTCAACAAGCGTGGAACAACTGCGTCGGGGCCCGTGCCGTAATCTTCCCGTAGGAGTCTGCGAATGTGTAAAGCGTCTCAGCGGCACACGGGATTGAAATTCTACATTGTGTGGTCTACGTTAGCGTCGATTTCGGATTAAACATTTATGCCAGCTTCTGGTAAGCCGAACTTGTGACCAAAAGTATATGCGAACAAATGTGCCTTCTGCTCCGAGTATAATGCCCATGACCCTGTTGCGGGCAAGAATGGCGGAATGCCAATATGAGAGCTCCCAGCGCGAAGCATGAGGAAATCACATAACGACCACCATTTCTTGCACGAAGGGCGTAATTCAACTATGCGCTGCCGGGTGGCAGCGCATAACTTAGTTGAACTACGCTGTGTCCGCCCCCTCAGAGCCAGGATCCCTTGTAAATTTCACTGCGTCCGCGCTCCCACGGCCAAGATCCACAGCAAATTACCCTGCGTCCGCCCTCGCAGGGCCACGATCCCTTGCACATTACGCTGAATCCGCTCTCCCTGGGCCACGGTCCCTCGAAAACTACGCTGCGTCCGCGCTCCCAGGGCCGCGCTCCCTCGTGAATTACCCTGCGTCCGCGCTCCCAGGGCCACGTTCCCTTGTAGATTACGCTGCGTCCGCGCTCCCAAAACCACCTGGGCATCCTGGGGCACCCAGGCCGCTCAAGCTCTGCAAAACAAGCAGATATTCGGCGCGCAGGGCGCGCCATCCTCGAGCGGGCACGCAAACATATCATTTCTATAGTTTCTTAAACAATTCAAAACTTCAGGACCTTGCGTTTTACCACGAATTCTGCGCAAAACGCTCCCCACTCCCGTTTTTTCAAAGGGAAAACGCGTGTCTGCGGACCCCGCTGTTGATTGCGAGGATCCGCGCATGTTTCTCGGGCGGGCACACGCGAAACGCATTTTTCCAAGCAAAAATCAAACTTAACCATGTTGTTCATCGCAAAATCATTCCACCGGCCCTCTTCAAATCGATCCTGGGGGTATAAACCTGCTCCAAGAGAGCCCTGGGCCCCAGCCCTTTCCGGGAACTTGCGAGGCGGGGATTTATCCATATCCACCGCCTGGGAACCGACGTCCTGGTGCCCCAGCGGGCGGTGGATATGGATATATTTCGGCCCCCAGGGGCCCGAATATCTCCATATCCACCGTCTGCCGAGGCTCCGGAAACTGGCCCTCCAGGCGGTGGATATGGATAAATTCCCGCATTGGAGAACTCGACTGCGCCCACTGATCTGGACTGTCCGCGGCGCAGCCGGGGAGCGAGACCAGGTGGCACGGCACGCCAGGGCCGGCCCAGGTAATCCGAGGGCTCGT